TAAGTATCATATTAACACACACACACACACACACACACACACACACACACACACACACACACACACACACACACACGTAGAGAATTAGAATTGGTAATTGATTTTAAATGCCACTCACCAGCATCAGTGTTGTGTATGCTTTCACGCGATAAAATTGCAGAGAGTAAATGCTTTGTCAACATTGGCAAGATAGATGTTTCGTTGATAAAATATGCAGTTTCAACACTGTGTGATATTTCCTCCATTTCTTGTTTATCTGCATCATGTATTCCAATGCTATAAAGGACAATGCCAGCATCTCTCAGGCCATCCAGTGGCTCTGCAACATTGTCATCAGACTTTTTCCCACTTAAGACAATCATTGTCTGAGGGATTCCCTGCTCAGCTCTGCTTCCAGCTGATGCAGTAAACACGTAATTTCTAGCAAAGTCAAGGGCCGCACCAGTGTTCACAGTGGACCCTCCTCTTAGTTTTACATTGCTCAGGTGAGTCATTAAATCATCTTTCTGTCCATAGGAGTTCAAGACAAACTCTGCTGTGGCCTCTGTGCCGTACTGAATGACAGCAACTTGTACATTGCTTGGTCCAATTTCTACTTCTTGAACAAACTGTCTCACAAAGTCCAAAACCGATCCTTCGTTTGCTCGCATATAATCAGATCCAGCAAGTAGAAAAACAATGTCAGCAGGACCACCAAGTTCTAATTGTGTACCTGTGGAAGTACCTGAAATAACACACAAATGTTGTTAAAAAAATACAATTTCATGCTCGCAAACGATGCCGTGTTTCTTTCAAACAAACGCAAAAAAGTCTCCATCTTACCAACGGTAGGCGGATATCCAGTCGTATCATCGATATCTCTCAACATTGCTCTGATAGATTCATGAACACTTGGCAGATTTGCAAAGCTTGTGACGGAAAAATAGTATGATGGCGTAAAAGAAATGTTTAGCATTTCCAATGTATCTGCATTGTTTGTTCCAATAGAGAACGTCTTTATTCCACTTTCTTTGAGTGATTGTGCTGGTCCTCTTACGTCATCCTTGGATCTGCCACCACTAAAAACAAACAGATACTGAGGAACCAGAGATGCACGTCGGCCTCCAACCGAAGCTGCAAATACGTTGTCTCTGACAAACTCCAGTGCTTTGCCAAGGTAGAGGGGTCTGCCATACTTATGCCCCATGGTTCGGATGGAATTGAGCACATCCGTCTTCGATGAATAAGAATTCAAGTAGAAATTGACGGTGGAATTGCGGCTGTACTGAACGACAGCCATCTGGTCTCTGTCATCAAGGCTCAAGGTTTCCGCCATTTGTTCAATAAATTTGCGTATGGCTTCAAAATTGTTTCGTGAGTCATATGATCCATCAATCAGAAACACCACATCATGTTTCCTGGATTCTGTAGTAAAGAGAAAAATGTAATACAAGTCAGCTGCCATAACGAATCACTGACAAGAGAATATTTTCTCATCTTGAATAGTCCTTTTGAACCAATCAATATCTCATTAATGTCATAGCGATTCCACACAGAACAGCTTACCAAAACTCTCCACTGGGGCTGATTGCTCTAAATGGTGGTCAGCCTCTTTAAGTAGCGACAGAACACTTTCCTTAGCAGAATGGAGTTCCTTGTAATTGCTTACAGAAAGTGCATATTTAGCATCATGAGACATTGTCTGAAGTTCTAGGGTATCGGCATTTGCTGTTCCAATGGCAACTATGATCACGCCAATCTCTTTCAGCATTCTGACGGGCACTCTTATGTCATCAGCCGACCTTTCATTGCTCAGCACAAAAAGGATTTGCGGGACACCCTGTGGGAATCTGCTCCCTGCATCAGGGGTAAAGACATGCTCCCTCAAATACTGGAGGGCAGCGCCAATATTGTTCGGCGAACCACCTTTGTGACTCAGATCTCTTATTGTGTCAACAACAACGTCTGCTGAGGAAAAACGCCCCAGGTCAAAGTGAATCTGTGCCGTGTTGCTGTACTGAACCACAGCCACCTGGTCATTGTTTGCATGAATGTGAAGCTCTGCTACTATGCCTAACACAAAGTCCTTAATGTCTTGGAATCTTGGTTCAGACTTATCGGATCCGTCAAGTAAAAATACAATGTCCCGTCTCATGGAATCTGGAACCACAAAGGCAACATAAAACAAATATACAATTAGATAGATGCATAGATAGATAGATAAGTAGGGAGGTAGGCTGTAGGTGAGTGTCTTTTGGCTCAACAGAAAAAAAAGCTACAGGCAGGAAGGTAGCTAAGTAGCCAGCTAGCTAGCTGAGTGGATGCATGGCTGGCAACAGAAAACAAAGATACAGATTGCCTAAGTAATGTAGGGAGGTAGGTAATTAGCTTACCGAATACAGTCCGAGGCTTTGACCCGGTCTGTCGAGGCACCCTTTTCACAAAGGAAACTAGCTGCTTATAGATTCGTCCAATATCCTCAAACTGTCGCAGAGCAAAGGCGTAGGATGGTACATGCGCAATGGTTTGTAGCTCGAGTAGATCGGAATTTTTGGTTCCAACGCAGAAGGCGACAACTTGGTCCTGTTTAAGAGCGGCAGCAATGCTCTTGACCTCATCCTGAGATGCACCCCCGCTCAACAGAATCAATATCTGAGGCACACCTTCTTTGTGCCGACTCCCAGAGGACTCTGCAAAGGTGTTGGTTCTCACATATTCAAGAGCTGCCCCAGTGTTAAGAGGCCCACCACCTTTGTGTTTCAACTGCTCAACAGTTGTAAGAATGTCTTGTAAATCACTGTAGGTGTTGAAACTGAAGTGCATCTGTGGGTCGCTGCTATACTGGACCACAGAGATCTGGTCCCCATTCTCACCGACATTGAGTGTTTCAACCACTTGTTTAATGAAACTTTTAATGTACGGAAATCCACTCAAAGTTTCATCTGAACCATCCACCAGAAACACAATGTCTCTTTGTGGGGAGTCTTGTTGCACTAGGAAAAAAAGGGTGAAACCTCATTTAGGATCAAAAACACTTAAAATGGCATAATTTACATGGTTGTTGTAGTATTCCTTGCATAGATAAATCGTTCAAGAAAGACAAGTGATACACTTGAAAATCAGAAAGGTAAGGGGCATCCTGTGTGAACAGAAAAAAACTTGATGGACAATGCAAGAGAAGACTTCCATCGAATCTATGTTCCATGTCAATGATGCAATAATCATTGGCTCAAGGAAGAGCTTTAGAAACGGAGACGATGGGGAACCTGTCAAGAGAAGGCTCTTCAGAGAGGAAAGTAGGTGAGCCATAAAAGAAAAATGGTAACCAAGTTTCTCTGAACAAGAGGAGAAACTTTAGCGATATGGAACTGATGGACAGACGTTCCAGATGTTGATGCAGTTTCATTCGAAAAAAGGAGCAAATGTCTCAAAACCAAGCAAAACCAGAGGCAGTTCTTACCTACAGGAGACTCAAGTGCTTTTCCCACCTGAACAAAAGACACTATGTCTTGTTGGACAGACAAAAGTTCACCAAAGACAGGTAGATTAAAAACATAAGCAGAAGAGGAGGCAATTTCTTCTAGCTCCTCTTGTTTTGCGTTTTTCATTCCAATAGCAAAAGCTACAACACCAAGTTGATGGAGGTCAGCTGCAGCTCCTGAAATTTCATCATTGGATTTGCCTCCGGTCAATAAAAAAAGAATCTGAGGGACTCCCTGTACAACTCTGCTTCCGGAAGCAGGGTTGAAAATGTAATCCCGAACATAGTCGAGTGCGGCTCCAGTGTTCCTCGGCCTCCCTCCTTTATGCCGAAGGCTTCTAACAGCATAGATGATGGCTCGTTTGGACCCATGGGCCGTCAAGTTAAAGTAAACTCTGGTGTCGTCACTATACTGAAGGACGGCCATCCGGACCTTATCATCATCAATGTCCAGCTGTTCTACCGTTCTTCTGATGAACTCCCGAATTGCTGGCAGTCCGTTTCTCGAGTCGTCTGAACCATCGAGAAGGAACACTATGTCCCTCTTAGTGCGGCCTGTGTCAAGTGTGTAAATACATACAGAAAGACCGTTCACAGTCTATAAATGCACAGAGAATGAAAGAGAGGCCCCGAGTATGTCAAAGTATAGAAGGAATCGTGTCGTGGAAAAGAGCACTACGGTTGGAAGGCTAAGACACAGAAAATAGTATATAAACCTTCATGCAAAACACGTATCAAGACAATTTTGCCGAATCATTGGAATTCATGAAGGCGATCGTTAGGATTGGGGTCTTACCTGTTAAATCAGATGTTGACTCAGTGGCATCTTTTATTAAGTTCAGTGCCGCAACGAGGTTAGATCGGATTGAGGGCAACTCAGAAAAACGGACAACCTTGTAAATGAAACCAGGTTCAAAGACAACCATTTCCAAGTCTGAAAAATTGACGCTGCCCACTCCAACCCCCACAGACACAATTTTGTGGTCCTTAAGAGCAAGAGCTGGGCTCCTCATGTCATCGGTGGATGGCTTTGTAGTGAGAAGAATCAAAATCTGCGGCACGCCTTCCAACCCCCTGCTGCCGGAGGAGGAAGCGAAGACACTTTGTCTCACAAACTGCAGTGCCGCTCCAACATTAAGGCGTCTTCCACCGCCACCATGCCTTAAATTCTCAATGGCCTTCATAACGTCACTCTCTGACATGTGGGAGTTCAGATAAAAGTCGACCTTTGGCTTATCAGCAAACTGAACAGAAGACACCCTGTCTTGGTTTTCACCGACATTGAGACTCTCCACTATGTTCTTAAGGAAGAGTTTTATGTCTGAAAACCCATTTCTGGTGTTTTCAGAGCCATCCAGTAGGAACACAATATCTCTTTTTACAGCATGACCTTGTACTATAAATGGAAAACATATACAGGTATGAAGATGGTTAGGAAACCCTTGAGCAAACAGCAGAAATATTTTTTTTCTTACCTTCCCGGAGGATGATCTCTAGCTGGGTTGGCGGAAGGCTCACATAGGTATTGAGTTGTTGAGGCACGGTGTCAAGCTCACTAAATTCCTTCACCTTGAAGGCAAAGGAAGGGTTGTGCGAAATCTCCTCGATCTGCCTTCGGTCCGCATCCTTGACTCCGACGCCAAACGGCACAACGCCCTCAGTCTTCAGCGCACCGGCAGGCTCTTTCACATTGTCCCTGGATCTACTTCCGGTCAGAACGATCAAAAACTGCGGAACACTTCGTGCCCTGCGGCTGCCATATCTCTCGGACAAGATAGTGTCCCGCATGAACTTCAGAGCTGAGCCCGTGTTGAGACTGCGTCCTCCGGCCAGTGTCATTTGACTGACGGCTCTCACAACCTCGTCTTTGGTCTGATAGGTGTTCAGGTAGAAATTAGGTGTTGGCCTCTCGCTGTGCTGAACCACCGCAACTCGCACTTTGTCAGTCCCGATGTCAAGTGGTTCAATGACTTTGAGGATAAAATCCCGGACGTATGTAAAGTCTGGCCGAACGGAGTCGGTACCATCAATAAGGAAGGCGACATCCCTTTCAAATCCGATAACCGCTGTGGAAAAAAAGGCATAAAAATAACATTTTATGGACTTTTACCAAAGAAATCGTTTACAGCAATAATACGCCATGTACATTCTTCATCTACTGCGGTCTATCTTTAACACCGACTTTGTCATTCTATTGCTAAAATCTGCAAGTTATCTTTTTACGTTGAAATGAGCACCTGCTGTGCTAAAATATTAACTTTCATTTGTGGTCAATTTTTTTTTTTTTTGCGTTAAAATACATGCACAATATATGTGGAGAGTGTTTGACTACACTTTTATGTGATCACAGCATGTGGAAGGTGTATTTTTAGGTTTAAATTCCACAATACATTTATTCCAATATTATTACACACAGTATCTGATATGCATAGATATTTGATATTCATGTTATGATTATAATTTTTTAAAATACGTTTTCATTGTACTTGCAAAGTGCGTTTTAACAAGTGTGTCAGATACAGAAAACTCACCAGGTTCTTCAGTGGCTGTTTCCAGATTCGTATCACCAACCACCGTGATTAACTTTGGCATGATTTGTTCAGCCACGGCTGGCAAATAAGAGAAACTTGGCTCATGGTAAGCCAAGTCTGGTACAAAGGCCACTGATTGCAGCACGGTCTGGTCTGCTTGCCCGGAACTGACCGCAAAGGTCAGAACACCTCCAAGAGCCAGCTTATCAGCAACACTCTTCATTTCATCCTGGGCCGGACCTCCTGTGATGAGAACCAGCACCTGCTGGACTCCTTGCCTCTGGCGAGAGCCCGCTGCCACGCTGAACATGTTGCGGAGAGCATATTCCATGGCGGCACCCGTGTTCAAAAAGGAGCCTCCCATCAATCTCAGTTGCGAGATTCGGTCCACAACATCTTGCCTGTCGCGTGCGGTGTTGAGATAAAACTCAATTTTGGGCTGCTCGGCAAACTGCATGAGGCCAATTTGGACTCTCTCTGGGTTCACTTCCAGTTGATTGACCACGTTAATCATGAAGTCTCGCACATATGGAAAGTTATTGCTGCCAATGTAGTTGGAGCCATCCACGAGGAAAACAATGTCTCTGACCACTCTTTGGGTCTGCACCGTTGTTATCTCCACCACTGAGGAAAACAAAAAAAAATAAGAAAAAAATCATTAACACGCATATTCAAACCATGTTCTCTGAAGTCACACGCTGTGTATTTTTAGGGGGGGGATTGCAACTTTGTCTTCACCTTTAAAATGGATCACTTGTACACTTGAAATGTGTGTGCGGCGCACTGTGCCTGATTTGTTGGCATGTCCTCATCACAGTTCTAAGCTTCTGGGATTGATCTAAGGTGCTGGGTTTGAGTCATGACTATGCCCCTCCGGTTTGGAGTTTGCATGTTCTCTCTGTGCTTGTGTGCGTTTTCTCCAGTGACTACGGCTTCCTCCCACATTCCCAAAGCGTACGTGTTGGGTACAGCGAAGAGTCGAAATTGTGAATTGGTGTGAATGAAAATGTGACTGGCTGTTTGACAACCAGTTAAGGGTGTACACTACATCGTTCGTCAAAAGTCATCTTGTGTTAAATGAAGTCTGTGAATTGTCCGTGGGTGTCGCCGTGGGCAAATCGTTTTATCTAGATATGCGCCTTTACTCGCCCAAAGTGCGTTAGGATCGGCCGCAGCTTGCCTGCGATTCTAATGGTGCTCTCGAAAATGGATGAAAGGATGAAAATGTATGGATGTTTTGGCGGGGACAACACATTACCTGGCTCAGTGGGCACTTCAGTCACCACGATGCCAGCGAGAGTGGAAAGTGCGTTGATGATCAACTTTGGGCTGCGAAGTAGCATACGGAAGTCCCTCATCGTGAACACGACGCTTTCGTCAAAGGCAATCTGATTCAGCTCTTGCTCATCGGCCGCCTTGGAACCCGCGGCCAAGGTGAGAACACCCATTTGCTGCAGAGCCCTGGCCGGCCCGGTCACGTCGTCTGTGGACTTTTTAGTTGTCATTAAGAGTAAAAGCTGCGGGACGCCTTGTTGAAGGCGACTGCCCTTGTCGGGCCGCAGCATGTCTGTCCTCACAAAGTCCAACGCTGCTCCGATGTTGACTGCCTGGCCTTGTCTCGGTTTGATTCGACCCAAAGCGGCCATGAGTTCATCCCTGGTTCCATAGGAATTGAGGTCTATCTCCAGTCGGGGGACGTTGCTGAACTGAGCCAAACCCACTTGCACGCTGTCCGGGCCGATGGGCATGGTCTCAACGAACCTCCGGATGAACTCGCGCACGGAGTTGATAACGGTGGCGCCCATTGTGCTGTCAAGGAGGAAAATGATGTCTCTTTTTCCAATGTCCAAGACTGAAGAAGAGAGAGCAAAGGATTAAAAAGAAGCTCAAAATTCATCACTTCATCTCCTAATGCTAGCACGTCACATTGCGAATTCCCCACTAAAATCATTAACTTCTTGGGTTCATTTAGGAAATGTATGGAAATTACCATTGCTAATTACCAAAACATCATTTTCGGCAAACATGAAGCATTAAAGCACTTAGTTTTTCTGGATTCATAAATTTATCACACCACCTGTCATAAAAACAAGAATAAAGTATCTGGCATGGCGGAGCACTTGAATATGAACTCTTGATTTTAGCAACCTCTCGATGTTTTACTATTTTGAAATGGATTGGAACACCTCACACCGAAGTTAGGTTTTCATTCACATGCTGTATTCTAGCCAATTAACAACAATGATAATCGTTAGGATGGATCATCAAAAATCGAATTTTGACCACCACCTACTGGAAGGTTTTTCCCCGGTTGCCCCAAATGAACAGCAACGGTAATTGCCAAACTGTCTTTGTAATGCTAAAAAAACTCATGCGTGTCGAACGTCTACAACACAGATGATAATTGTTATGCTAAAATACCGTGATTGTCATTACATTTTGAAATATACTCTTTGACAAGAAAAAAACGGCAAAGCGCGTGAAGGTATCTAGCGCACGTTAAAGGACCATTGGACGCCACTCATGACCACACTTATAGAAAAGTGACCTACCTTCTGTGAACTCATTCTGTACTATAATGGTGCGCTGGACCACACCCTGAACCAACGGCGACAGCTGGTCACCCGCGTTCCCCACTGCTGTGAAATCAGGGGCCGACAGGACAAACGACCTATCGGTAGCGATTGTTTCCAGATCTGGAGTGGCGGTCTCACCGATGACCACGCCAAACGTGATAACTCCGGCCCTCCTAAGGGCCCGGTCACCAGCACCGGTATCATCAGTGGATGGCCCAGCGCTGATCACAACCACCATCTGGGGTACGCCCTCCTCTGCCCTGCCCCCTGCCGATTGGCTCAAAAGGCTTTGGGCTACTTCCTCCAAGGCCAGGCCCAGGTTCGCTTGGGGACCCCCTGAGTATGTAAGTTCCTTCACAGCCTCCAGGACGGATGCTTTGCTCCCATAGCTACTGAGATAAAATTTAATCTCTGGGTTGTCGTGGTACAGGGCTAAGGCCACCCGAACAGCCTCCCTGCCCAGATTGAGGCGCTCAACGATTCTCAATGCCAAATCACGAACATATGGAAAGTTTGCTGCTCCAACGTTCTGCGATCCATCAATTAAGAGAACAAGGTCTGCGGAATCTTGCGCTTTGAGAGAGAGGGAGAGAGACAGAAAGAGGGAGAAAAAAAACAAAATGGAACTTGTGAAAGGGTTAACGGTGAAAAGGTGGGAAAGGATCTTGGGTGGCAAGTCACATTCAGTGTGAACAAATTGCAAAAACATCATGCTGCATGTCGGCTGAACCAAGGAAGTTTGCCCGAGTCATTCCAATTGTTCTCTGCCTTTACTTGATGACTACGAAGGGTGGATGAGAATGAGGTGCTTGGTTTCACAACGATGGAACGTGTGGCTTGCGACGTTGATCACTTTTGCACGTCTCGTCACTTTATGAGTGTCAAAAGTAAGCTACCAATAACTTCACTGACAATTTTCCACAATTCTCAAGCTACGATCGAGCAGAAAAGAACATAAACCCGCCTCCAAAAATATTGCGACAAGAAGGGCATTTGCTCTATCGTTGTCGCGGACTGCAGACGTTTGGCTTTGACACCAAAAGATGAATAAGAAATGAATTGACAAAAACACAGAGCAAATTTAGACAGGAAAAAAAAAATTGAAAACCAAATCGCACGGAAACTCGGGCATACAATATACATAAATAATGTTGCTCTGGTGTCACATTCATCTTTTGAGGTCAAACCCAAGCCTAGTCATAAATAAAGAACTTGGCTTCTCTGTCCCGATTCTTTTGGAGGAGAGCATACATAATCAGGATGTGAAAATCAATAGAGTGGCGGAAAATACTTTTCTACCTTTTGTCTGAGGACAATGGCAGGCAAAAAAAAAAAAAAACGACCATATTGAACAGCAGGGGTGCCCAAGTCTTGTCCTCGAGGCCTCCTTTCTTTTCCTGTTTTGGATGTCTCCCACCTCCAGCACACCTCATTCAAATGATCTGCAAGCTCCGCAGAAGCCTGATCATGATCCTTATCGTTTGAATCAGGTGTGGTGGAGGAGGGAGACCTCAAAAACAGTCCGGATAGGGGCACCCCTGCTGTACACGATGTTCCATTGAACCAATTAGGGAAAATTTGATGCCTTTGTTGGTGGTTCTTGTACAAACTCCATGGTGTCAGCCATCCATGCAGGCTCGTGTTACGGACCTTAGATAAAATGACCAGTAATGACCCGCTGGCTCATCCTTTTGTGTGCAGAACGTTGTACAATTTGGTTCCATAACTGTAATATTTGATAACATTGCCAAAAGTATCCACTTGTCAACTTTGGGGGCTGATTCACTTTATCATCATAATTTCTTATGCCGCATCCGTTAGTGTTTTGAAATCAGAACTGACTGAATTTGCGTCCATATCTGGATTGTGTCGCAACTCTTCAAAAGTGACCATGTGTCATGCTCAGGGCCCAACTGACTTGTTTTCTGTACTTGTTCAGCAGTGTAAGGATGGAAACCAGGCAAGTTCATCACTGCCTCAGATACACATTACACTTTTTTTTTAACCAAAAAAAAAAAAACATACACACATTTTAGACCTTGTCAAACATTTACAAGACACATACATAAGCAAGTGGTGGTGAGTGGTTAGCAATTGTTAAAAGGTCACTGATTGGTGTGGTAGTTGTGATACGAGATGTACTGTTGTGGTATTATGAGACATTATATGTGAACATAAGTAATGTTAATTTTGTGGATAATGGAAGGTTACTGTGGGGATCTGATTGTGTTAATGATAAAAAGTCAGCCACATGTGCAACGGAGTCCATCCGGCACATGCGGACACATTAGTATGGTAGCGGATGGCCGTCCCATTACATTACCTGTCCCTCCTCTATCCCCGGGGGGCTTCCTTTGGCATCACGTCGCAAACCCCCACCACTAAATCTTGACTCTCAAATTTCGCAAGACCAGAAAAGAATACGATGAGCACATGATTTTGATGAGGTTGGCTAGCCATCTCCCTGATCGCCCAGTCCACGGCGTCCTGAACCCCGACTGCAAAAACCTCCGCGCCGGCCTTCTGTAGCACTTGCGCCAGGCCTGGCCATGTCATCCTTCGAGCGGCCTTCCATTAGCGCCACCAGCACCCGCGCCGCTCCTTCACGGGCGGAAGCGGTGTTCATATGGGCGCAGATCAAGCAGTCCAAGCTCAGGCCGGTATGGGAGCGCCCCGCTGTGATACGACTTAGCCTTGACGCGTCTCCGTACTCCCTGTGTTGTCGGGTAGCTCTTGAGGTGGAACTCGGTTTTGCGCTTTGGTGTTGTACTGCACCAGAGCAAATTTGAATCAGCCTGAAGTAGCTGTTTCAAAGCAAAATGGCCGACTTCCTGTGTCTTTTGCATCTGTCTGGCTTCTTGATACTTTTTTGTGGATCTACTCATGATGAACCCGACTAAATGTCAAATAGCTAAGTGGAAATGAGAAATTTCACGAGGACCTCATGTTGGGAATCACCTGTAAAAGTCAACTGTTCTTATTGCACTTCAACTTACCATCCTGCGCATCGAGTTTTGGAAGAAATCCTGCAAGCAGGACCCCCACGAGGGCGCAGAGTGGTATCAACCGGTGCCTTGTCATCTTTACAAGAAAAGATAGAAACAAAGATGAGATGAAGTTAGTCTCTCCACAGATCAAACGCAAATGTGAAATTTGTCTTACACAAGCACAAATTCAAGATGCAAGCAGCAACGAAGAGGCTATCGTAGACCTTTTTGATTGGCAAATCTTTGTCATTGATCATCAAACTCGACACCCACTTCCAATGCTTGTGCAGTGGGCTCATTTGGCCAAATTCCCTAGTTTGAGTTCGTCCCCAAAAGACTTTTTCAAACCAAAATGGCCGACTCCCTGTTCATTTTCCAGCTTTGGTGCATTCTATTATGATGGATATGATCACCCAAAATCGTGTTGATGAGTGAATTTTTTATTTAGATTTTTTTTTTTTTTACTTACCAGGGGTGCTACTGAGTAAGTAAAGTGATCATTTAACAGTGGGGGGAGGGATGCTAAATGCTGTAAATATCCATCCATCCCTTTTCTATCGTGTTTGTCCACGTTAGGGCTGTGGGTTAGCTTGAACTAATTAACCTTTAATATGGCCAGTTATGTCCAAGCAAAAGGCCGTGAGCCCACATGAAATCACATTTGCTGACTGGCAAATACATCTGAAAGCAGCAGGTGGCGCCATAACTCCCAAATGTAAGACCTTTTTTTTTTTTTTTCGTAGCAAAATACCCCCGTTTGTGGAAATGGCACCATACAGAGAATGAGTGATGTGTTATGGAAGGCTGATGCAAATGCTGACTGTTGACAACCACAAACACGCCAAAGGACACTTTAGAGTTAACATTCCGTGCATTTTATTTCATTTTGTTGTAAATATAGAGACCCGTGCCGGCACGTGGAGAACATGCACACGCCGCACAAAGAAAGTCAAACCACACACACTGGAACGCTCTCTCTCTCTGTGACCACTCTTCTACGGCTGTCCCAGAAAAATACACGTTAGCAAAAATACCGCTTTGTGTTTGTGTGTGGACATGGCATAAGTCATCTGCTGCCGGTTATGTAACACGCCGACGAGAACACATTTCCTATGTCTAAGCGGGCCAATAAGCAATTTTCTCCGGGCTGCAACCCTTCCAAACTGAGCGTTAAGGTGGGATTGCAACGGACCACACGCACTCGCACAAACCCAACGAAGCAGACTGCACACGTAACGTCACACTTCATTGAAACAAAATGTTATTAAAGCTTGGAACGGTGATGAACGGGCCCTGGAAGCAAACCCAGAATTTGCGCAAAATGGTTGGGCTTGTCAAACAAAATGGCTGACTTCCTCTTCGATTTCAGATATGGGTCCTTGAGACTTTTTTTTTTTTTAACTCGTCCTGTTATGATAGACATGTCGATTCCATTTCATGTTGTCAGGGGAAAATGCTGCTGCTTGCAAATCTCTGTCTCTCTCTCACACACTCTTTTTCTCACTCTCTCTATTTGCTGCAAACATTCTCTTAAACAGCAATTTGGTGGGAGCCTTAGAACTGGCCTAATAAGGGAGAAACAGTTGTCGAGAATTGCTGAGGCTAACTTGATAGGGTTTTGACACACCCAGTGATTCATTCCATTCATTAAAATTAAACGCTTTTCCTTCCTGACGCTTTTTTTCCCCCCAACGCAGATAAGGCAGAGCTCACTCTGTCGAGCCCCCCCCGATACATTTTACTGATCAACACGAAATCTGGTGGACATGTCTTTGAAAATAGGATGCGCAAAAAGAGTTATGGACCGTGCATGAAATCGAACAGGAAGCGGGCAATTTTTGGGTCAAGTTCCTCACACAGAGGAAAGTCAGAAAAAAATGATCTTAGAACGCCAGTTTTCTCCGAGGGACCGAAAAAGTGGGTAAACATGTTCATCTTGTCGGGACTTACAAAAATCTCTTGAAGGACACACGTCGAAAATTGCACAGATTCAAATCCAGAAACTCTGCAGGCAGACGTGCTAAACAACACAAGGTCACCATGCTGGCCAGACTCAGGACTTGCCATCGTTAAATAAAGACTTCAGCGGATAAAAATGTGTACCTAGACACATCAGCTGACGATTGCCTGCCTTCAACTTCTGGCGACTTCCCCCAAAAAGTACAGTAAAAGATCCCGATATGCAACTAAGCAGCCACTTCCATGATAGAAAGTCCAAGTGTGACTCCACACTGCCACCTCCTGACAAAATGCGAGGGCACGAATCAATTCCAGACTTCAGGACAGCCTGCCAGACAGAGGATGTGACTTGCACAGGAGAGGAGGCTCCATCATAAAGTTACAAACTCAGCGGGCAGTTTGGAGGCAGCTGCTTCGTGTTAATCCGTCTGACACGGAGCAGATGTGCACTGGCTGGATTACAGAGTGCCCATCCTGAGGCCTTTCAGACCGGCCTGCCGGATCCGCTCGCCACCTCGGAGCGGGACGGCAACAATGACGACGATCGCCGTCGAAGAAGACGTTGGAAACGTGACATCAGTTTCATGTCGCCTTTGCGCCAAACCGAAAAGTAACACTGGAGACGCTCGCTGTTGATTTACACCCATCCCAATTACAGATGGCTGCGGCCATAAAAAATAGAGAACCTTTCAGAACGTTCCAAGTTTCCAAACATCTGCGCCGCATCATGGAATGAAAAAAAAAATAAAGTGAGTGCGCATGAGAGAGTGGAATAGCCGTAAAACATGTTGATTTACGGTGCATTTCTTCAAGTCCATTGTTAAGAGTTCCTCTGCCAGCAACAATACGAGCCTCCAAGAGATGGGTGCCACTAAATTATGCGAACGCAGCAAAGTGTCCCTCTTTCTCCAGCTCTCTCCATCTCCATCTGACGTAAGCCTAATTATCGGAGGGGATTTTTTTTTTTATAACCGTGGCATCTTTTGGAGCCACCAAACCAGTAACTGAATCAAAAATGTTTGTGAGTACAGCCAATAAGCTCTCGTGTGATATTTTGTTGTCAAATAAACAATAATAAACAGTAATCAGGGGGGGAAAAGGGTTTTGTAGTTTACTTGAAGACCAAATAAAATAATCGGTTTGAAAACTATTCGATAATGACAGCCCTAAACCAAACAGAACAGACCTAAAACATGAGAATCCAAACTCAATATCCAGAATACTGTACCGCGATTGTCATTTTTTTTTTTTTTTTTTTTAAGAATGTCTTTGGTTTACCCGCCCCCCAAAAAATCCAATGCATTTCAATGGCCCGTCAATTTTATGTGGATTTTCAATAGTCGCGAGCCAGTCCAGTCCCTAACCTCCGCGAATAGTGGGGTGCCAGTGTACAGTTTGAATTTGTAATATCACCATTCCCCACTAGATGGCAGATGGAACTGTGCTTGTGCCGGGTCATATACTGTCCTAAACGACATTGTGAGTAGGCCTAATCACTTTTGGTGCATTTGGAATGAAATGCAGGACAAACATAGTACCTGACTCGTGTTAATATTTTGAGTGAGTTGTTTTTTGTGGGGGGGGGGGAATGCACAAAATGAGTTCTTGCACTGAATGTTGCTTTGCTCTTCAACATTTTTGTGCCATCCTTGGGTGGTAATTTTTATGCACGAGAGCCCTTTGCACAAAAAAGGCTTGGTATGCAGTTACATTTTGATTGTTTAAACCTGTGAGTGTTGAAACTTTTGTTATTATTAAATATGCTAAGAGTTGGGGTGGCCTTTGGGAAAATGTAAATTTTCCCGGCTGGCCAGAGATTTTTCTGAGCCAGTCCTGGACATCACCGATCAAAACCCAAGATGCTGCCTCCCTGTTCAATTTTAGACATGAGTGCCTCAGATGTTTTTGTGGGTCCTATTATGATACATCTGTCCACTAAATTTCGTTACACTGGGTTTAGGGGGGCCAAATTTTTTTGACTTTCCAGTGGCGATATTGAGTGAGTTTGGTTGTTTGGAACCCTTCAAAAATATATGCTTTCACCAGGATCCACACTTTTTGTTTTGGGCCCTGCGATCCACTCCATCTCCCTCAGCAAATTGTGGCCGCAAAGTTGCCGTAGCCTTCAAGTTTGACAGATAACACCTGGTTCTGCAAGCACCACTGGCCCACTATATCATCACAAGCCACCCCCTCGTCCGCCTCCCTCTACTTCATCCTCCTCCTCCTCCTCTTCTTCTTTCCCCTCTAAACACGACTCATCTGGCTGGCTGTGTGGAAAAGAAAAAAAAAAAGGCGCTTCACACTTTTCCATTCTCTTGCTCACTTGTTGAGAGAGACCGAGGGAGCGAGGGAGAGAGAGAGAGAGAGAGAGAGAGAGAGAGAGAGAGGATGGGAGGGGAGGGGTGGGGAGGGTGTGGTTTTGGGCTACCGCTGCAGTGGAAATATCTCGCCCATCCAAAAAGACTCCTCTGCTTTGCAAGTGCGGGGATTTGGCGCAGCCTGGATGTGTCTCCAAAAGGCAATTTCTCCTTCTTTATCTCCACAGTTGAATGCCAAAGCCGGAACAACAACCCGGGCAACTTGATCTCGCCAGTCAAACTAAACTTGAATCATTGCATTGAAAAACTGAATTTGAATGACATCATTTGATTTGTTTCAATGGAATTGTTGCATTGAAGAAAAAAAAAATCTGATTTGAAAGTATTCGTTTCGAATTGAAGACCCATCAACTTGAAACAGAATTTAAAATTAAGAAATGTATTTCATTTACTTAAAAATGATGTCTGTTATCCTCACTGAAAATGCAAATAACTCACTTTTCACTTTCAGTCCAGGTCAATAACGTCTGTTCTTCTCAATACAAATTCATTTTGATTGACAGCAGACAGTTTTAAATTTGATAGTCCGGGTAAATTAAATCTGAATGTTAGATGTGACATTTTAATCATCCAAAATTTGAATTAGATGCACATTTTATTTTAAATATGAAAGAAGCCATCAGAATTCATTTAATCTGAATTCCTCCACATTTTTTTTTCAGATTTTATGTTTAATTCTTCCCCAAAATATAAGATAATACTTTTTTTTTGAAGAATAAGAAAAAAGAATAGAGAACAAAGTCCGAATTTTGAAATTGGAATTGGATTTCTGTCCGTTGAACGCAGTCAATTTGACACAGAGCGCTCCACTCCAGGGGGGCGAAGGTACACAACAGTACAGTACCAGGCAAAAGTTTGGACACACCTACACCGCTGCGGCAAACCAGAGCAGCGTGCGTCCAAGGCCAACTTTTACATGACATTGTGCCCCAACTTTGAAGTGCAGCTCACCTTTGGCCCGTCACTAAAATTGACAAATTCTGACAGCGCGCGATATAAACGGCCGTGCATGAAACACGTGCGTGTTCTGACTGCAGCCTGGCGCCGCGGTCGAAAATAAGTACGCGGCGAAGAAAGACGCTGGGAAGCTTACCCTGAACGGATGCGGCAGCCGCTCCACACTCTACTTGCTGCTCAAGTGGAAGAAAAGAAAAGAAAAGAATCGTATCAGTCGTCAATGACAGCAAGCAGAGTTGTGCTCATTATCCTCTTGATAAGGTCCGAAAGGAGGGGGTGGGTTTCGGGACGGGCAGGCAGGCAGGCAGGCAGGCAGTCACCCTCCCGGTCTCGACCCAGAGGAGCAGTGGCGCCGAGTTCAAGGCTGGGATGGGACAAATTTCCAAAGTCTTGGAATTCTGCCGTCTCACTCGATTCCTCCCACCCACTTCTCTCTGAAGGCAAAAGAGGAAGAAGGGGGAGTCAGGAGATGGAGTGGGGACTAAATGAAAAGCAGACGCATACTGTAGCCCTGTTTGGTCTGGATCTGAAGGCACTCGGATGATGTCACAAATTTCTTTCTACCTTGCTTGTCATCTCCACCAACTTTCCACAGGCAGCGGTTGTACAGTCATACAAAAGCTTCGATTGTCAACATTTTTCTTTGATCCCTCCCTCTCAGACGCAACCCTCGGCTTTTCTATTTTTGTATCCCAGTGAGCTTCGGTAACTTTCCTTTTTGTCTTTTGCTAAATAAAGGCAACATTCTGCGATGGGCTGGCAGCCAGTGCAGAGTTTGCGCCGCCTGCTGGCCGAGGGCCGCCGGCGTAGGCCCGCCGCACACCCGCCACCCTCCTTAGGATCAAGCCGATCAAATAATAGATGGATCAATAACAGATTTCTCTCTCTCTCTCTCTCTATATATATATATATACATACAGTATATGTACGATATATATAAAATCTTCCATATTCCACTTTCATCACACTACTGTTGGCCTTTGTCTTGAACAATTACGTTCTAATTCGAATACAAATTTTGTGTCAACTGAAGTGTCTATAATTGTTTTTTTGTTGTGCAAATTTGTGTCATTGAAATTGCTGTTTCGAAAGCAGTCACACATTAAGAAAGAAAGTAGCCCCCAAAAAATGTTCACACTTAGGAATGCGCATCACAATATATTGGCAATTACACTGCGGTGTGAATGACATTCCTTGGCTACAATCGAAAAAAAAAATAGCTGAAGCGCAGAAAAGGCATCTTTTTTTTTTTTTAATGGCTCTATAATGACAGCTTACAGTACCGTATAGGGGGCCTGCTTCAGATTACTGTACATGTTGCACATTTGCTACTAAGTCTCGGTGGCACGTATGATTGCGATCAACATAAATGCGAATGGTGGCGTAACCTTTTATGAGCTGCTAATTATTAATGACATATTTACACCGGGCTATGTTGGCCCCAAAGTGACCATATACCTACTTTAGGCTCGCCAGGTGTCAACAGCAGCACTGTGGAGCACCTTGTTTCTAAACAGTGACCTGTTTCCTTTCGGAGTGAAAAGAGAGAGAAAAATCCAGATGATTTTTCTTGGATGGATGAACACCACTTTGTGTGTGTTGGTCTGAAAGGAAATCAACTACAAGTGTTCATTTGCACTTTGGCACTCATTGCGCAAAACACGTTCATAAATGGATGCCTTTTAGGGGTGGACATGTCAATCACAACAGGACGGACAAAGTCTCCAGGACAATGTTGAACAGGAAGTCGGCCAATTTTGGGTTGAAGCTGATTTCTTTCTTTTTTTTTTTGTGCGGATTCGGCAAAACGAGCCCAATTGTAAGCAGGGATTCTGGACGGATGGGCGACACTCGGTGTAAAGCGTATGCAAGAAACCCAAAGCTCAACAGCAGCGCGTTGCTAAAACAGACGTTCTCCGGAGAGGACGGTGTGTTGCGACACCAAGCCAACATCTGCACATCTGTTCGCTCCCCTCCGTCGGCAGTCACCGATCAGCAAAGGTAAACCCTCGTATCCTAAACGGGCTCTACAGTTACACACGGTTCTTTATTCATCAAGTGCGCACAAAAAAAAAAAGAAAAAAAAGACTCCAAATGTCCCATATGGAAGCGCTTATAACACTGGCTCGTGTGTGTCCGTGTTCTGTTCACTGAAAACCATTACTCATGCGAACGTTTGCAGCAAAGCAACGCTCTGTTGTGGCGGTGGGTGCTAGGCAACCGCCGGCGGATGATCCACTCAGTTATGTTCCAAGAGAATCTGATAAGCAGCAAGATCCTACTATAAATCCCCAGTTATCCCAATAGTCATCTAATAGGCTAATGAAAACGGCATGTTTTTTTTTCTTTTATAATAATCCCTGTGCTCAAGTTGAGGGTAAAATTGGCTGCTTTTATTTAATCTTATAATTATTGTTTTACTTCTCTTCTGCAAGGCATTATTATAAAAAGGGCTACAAATATTAGGTTGAAAAAACAGTTCGGCCAATTGACAAGACATTGGGGCTACTTGTATGTCGTAACAGAATGCTGGGAAAAGTCTCAGGGACCCCCCCCCCCACCTGGAATTGAACAGGAAGTCAGCCATTTTGGTTTGAATCCAATGGATCTGGCGTAGCATTGCAAAGTCTGATCATTCTGAAAATTCTCAAAATGTAAAAAAAAAAAAAAAAAAAAAAAAACAATCCAGTCTCTGACACCAGTTTCACTCACCGACGTGAAAGCTATCCTATTTGGGAGGTGTCATGCTTTGGCCTATTTCTGTTTTTAGTTTTGTTGCCAACGACCTTTGTTTGCACTTTGTCGGTTCTCCGCTTTTCTGTCAATACAAATTTTTTCCAATTTATCTTTGTCTACTTTTGTGGGATCCCAACATCATTTGGTTCGTTCCCCAACCATGTCAGGAGGATGCAACGACCCAACGGAAATGGAACTGAAAGTCAGCCATTTTGGTTCCAAGTGCCTATTTGAGGGCTTTTGATGAACATTTCAAGAATTCTCCGTGAGGGACGATAAAAACAAAAATAGCATTTTTAGGGGCCCAGGCACACCCCAAAACTCACCAATTTTTGCAAGAATGTATACCCTGGTGAAAAACTGCATTTTTGGACTCTCCAACAAAAGTCAGTCAGTAGCATCCCTCTCTGAATAACAAAAAAAACCCCCCAAGAGACCAGTTTACCAGTCGAGACAAAATTTGGTGGATCCGTCTGTGATAAGGGGACACACAAAAAAGTCTTAGATGTCGAGGAGGTTGGTGTTCTGAGCTGTCTAGGTGGCTCGCTGTAGACAGCTGTGAAGAGACTCTTTGATGGACACCAAGGTTTGGCTGGATCACAATGCGCTGCTTGTTGTCAATCCCCTTCTGACTTATCGTTCCCTCAGTTCCAAAATAAAAAAATGAGACAAACAGCCATTTTGTTCAGCGGTCTGGGAGGGGTTCTTCCACACGGTATATTTGTGGAAATTATGAGTAGCATAGCCACATTAGTCATGAACTTACAGTAGACTTGCCGTTTTCTACTTCTACCAAAATGACACGATCGCTTAACTGTCCTTCCTTTATGAAGACATCTGAGACAAAGTCACCAGAGGAGAACATGTACTGGCGTACACGGCTCACTCCAAAAAGCAACGCTGAGTCACACCGTATGGAATATATACAAAACGAATAAACATCATTTTCTGTGGTTCGGGATAAAAAGGGTTGGCTTAAGTGAGTGCTAAAACCGCACCGCGAGTGGCGTCGCCATCGTTCCTTTGAATGTTGATCGAAATATGGCCTGCGACCAGTCCATTGGTTACGGCAATACAAAAATCCGTTCGAGTACTACCACCGCTCCGAAGGCGTCTCCCAGGAAGACTTTCCTCTTGTCGAATGGACTTTTATACTATTTGAACGAACATTGTGTCGTACGATCTTGCGTCAAACGTTGCCACTCCATTGCAGCCTGGTCATCCTGGAAGGGGGATTCTCCCATCTGCGGCCCCTACTCAGGGTTTCTCACCCAACCTGCTGTTTTTTTTTTTTTCCTTGCCCTCCAGGGGGGTAATGCCAGGCGATGTCGTTAATATTTGTCAGCTGTAGGCATGTGGAGCCCTTTGAGACCGTTTGTGATGGAGGGCTATGGAAATAATCGTGATACCATTGTTTACCTTCATATTCAAATGTGAAGACCTGGCCGGTCTCACTAATTTTCCATATAATTGGAAAATCAGCGATCTAACAGTGGACTAAACGTTTGTGTGATGGACAGATTCATTTGCTGAACTGCATATACTGTTCAGGGTCTTGTGGATCTGGAGCCCCTCCCAGGTGACTTTGCACTACACCCGAGACTGGTTGCTACACAATCACAGGGCACATCGTGCAAAGTGGTTTAGAGTATCATCAGCAGGTTGCAAGACAGTATGCATCCATTCGTGGATCAAACACCAACTGCAAAATTTCTCATCAGCAAGTAGTGACCGAAACAGTGAAGACTTGGAGAAGTGCTTTCAGAAATCCTTCTCTCCACTTTCCACTGAGGCCGCTTTCACACAGCGTCCGTTCCCGCCTCTGTCACACGTCACGCAAACTACTTGAAGGGCCCACAAGAGATAAGTCCCGGTTGACCAAGATTCCTCCTCGAGGCGTCCGCCCCGGCCAAACTGAGTAATCGAGGGAGACCAGCCTTGGTGAGAGAGGTGACCGAAATAACCCAACAGTCACTCTTCCGAGATCCTGCGGCCCGCAACTCCAGAAGACGGAAAAATTAAATAAGAGATTCTTTTCAGGCCATCTCACATCTGGAGGCCGATAGTCGACAGTAATAATCCCCCCCCGCCGTATTCATTCTGAGCAATTGCATATCATTCTGCTCTTGTTTTATTTGGCTCAGCAAAGCAGCTGCTGCAGAAACTCTCATCAACTGTCCGCTAGTTTTCTCGCAGATGTTACAGTCTGGTATGTGCACATGTTGGACACTTGACTCACTCCCACCTAATAGTTCAATGACAAGAGCCCAAAGTTTTACACCGGGCTGTTTGTATCCAGGGGTGGCACAGCGGTCGACTGGTTCGCACGTCGGTCTCACAGTGCTGAGGTGCAGGGTTCGCTTCTGGCTCGGGCCTTCCCGTGTGGAGTTTGCATCTTCTCTCCGTGCCTGCGTGGGTTTTCTCCGGGTACTCCGCTTTCCTCTCGCATTCCAAAAACATGCGCGGCAGGCTAATGGAACCCTCCAAATTGTCCCGAGGTGTGATTGTGAGTGCGGATGGATGGATGGATGGATGTCTTCAACAAACCAGAAAGCATGGCTTATCTGACCAGAGTGCCTGCTTCTGAGCGGGGCTCATTTGGCGAAAGTCCCTCATGGGATTTAGGCAAAGTACAGACTGTGACATTCTTGCTTTCAACCAAACCGGCTCACTCCTAGTTCAACTGCGGACATGATTTCTTGACATTTTTTGCATGCATCCTGCAATGACAAAGATGCTCCACCAATTTCATGTCGATCAGTGAAACTGGTGCCGGGAGATGATTTTTTTTTTTTTT